GCGCTTAACGACCTAAGCTTTTGTCACTGTTTCAGAATGCACAACTTTTATTAACTTTAATTTTCTCTCTCCGTCCAAGTGCTTTCTCCCCACCTCAACTTTTGGATCCTGGAATGTGAGGTTGTTTTTCGTATCCATATTTATCATTTCTTTTTAGGTTTTGACATGTTTGCCTGTGTGTTGCATTAATACCTGCATACACGTTGAGACCATTTATTTAGGGCTATCATATGTTGTCATTGGCAGGCTGCATCGCTTTTCATTCAGACGTGCTAATTCTTTTAATCAGGAAGCTCCTCTATGACCTCGTACTAAATGCTTAATTTTTTCTTTCACTTTTCTTCATAGCTTGTGGTTGGGCCTGACTTGCTGAGTCGTTTCCTAGACCAATTGCTTTTTCTTGATAACTTCAGACACTCGTTCTGTTCGATTAACTAATACCTTGGCCTATTCATTGTTTCGGTTTCCACTAATAAAGATTCATCTAAGTTTAAGGCGTTCAATGTGTGTAAAACATACCTTAGCTGAGTAAAATTAATTTAAATTTGCTCTATAGTATTGTATTTATCTTACAATGTGAACTTTTGATGAAAAACTCTAATTTGTTATATTTTGTGGTTAATTATCTATCATTCATTAGTTCCCTAATGATGGACGAAAACATCACTAGTAGTACTAATTACAATAGAATAAGTAGAAACTATAGTTATCGACTCATTTATATGGTCTATGAGTACAAAGCAAGTGAATAAATTTCTTTCCCCCTTCGACGAAATCCATTTATATGAAAACGCATCTTTTATTTGGATAAAAGCCCTTTAGGTATTGCCATTATAGTCGCTCTCTCATTCCAGCTCTGGGTATCTCGGTATCTGCCAAACTCTCATTATTTTCATACTTTCAGACTATATTCATCTTCTATTCTTTCATTGCCTCAAGGAAAATAGAACTCTGGCCAGATTCATGCAAAATTATCTCTGGACCCACATTCGTTTTGAGCTGTGCCAATACCAGTGAAATGAAGTTCTCGGTTCCTCACAAAGACTGGTTTCGCTACAAATTAGCACTCACTATTTCAATTTTCGATCACTTCCACCCAACTACCAGCGCCTATTTTTTAACGTGTTTCTTTGTAACCTAGACTGCTTGTGATGGATAACTAAGCCCTTTGAATCCTATCGGTATTACACTGTAAACAGACTGTAGGCGAGTTGAACGTTTTTTGCAGCCAACGAGTTTATATGGGTGTGCAAAATAGGCACAGTAGGCGGTTAGGTAAACTACTTTGCCAATGGGAATAAATCAGAGCTGCCCTAGACATAATCATTTATTTACAACTAGGAGAATGTAAAGATGGGGATAACTTGGTAAGCAATGCTTTTCTCGCAATTAATTTGAACAACACTAAGTGATTATCTACATCTTATTACATTCAGGGCCTTTTAGACCCGGTTGTTCAGGATGAGGAGAATCTTAATATCCTCTCCTGTTGATTTCGGTGGATAGCTTTGCACCAGGTGAATGTGAATTTTTTTCCTATCATATCGTGCCTCGGAGTCACTTCTCAACCACATCAACTAAAATATCAGTTTGGTTCCTTTGGTTTGCTTTACAGAAGCGGAGCCTTGAGGGACTTGTGTTTGTGATGCCACCCTAGAGACTAGCTTCAGTCTTCACAACTTATCCTTATTTCCTATGGAACTGCTGCTGCAGTTGTCCTATGGCATTGGCCATCCGCTCCATATATTCGACAAATTTGCTCGTCTGGATTTCCTCGTTCATCGAGACCTCAGACTGTTGAGAAACTTGCTTCTTCATTTCACCAAATTTTAGGACTAAACCAGGCATCACGACTTATGTCTGCCAAGTAGAGTATTTGAAGTCTAGGAGATAGGTGATGGGAGAAGCCTACATAATTACAATGCAATTACAATTACATTACAATGAGGAAGATGGCTTTCTGTAGCTTATCATGGCCTATGAAGATATTTTTACAAGAACGATTTTTTTTCTCGTTGCCATCGTTCGGCTCGGGCGCCATTGAAATTCATATTTATCTTGTTTCAGTTATAAGTGTCATGGCCCTATGTACCTTAATTTATTATACTCTAACTGAAACTGTTTTGCGAAATAAAAGATATAAGAATGTAGTTTAGAGCCTTTATAGAATCAGAAGGGGGTGCCAAGACGGCCAATTCCATGTTTTCAGATCCTAGTGGTGGACACAAGTAAATGAGATAGGAAAGTTAGAACCGAGGAGATGTGACACGCGGGAGAGACAATGTTTATTCGTTGTCTGTTATAGCTAGGTCCTTTTTTTACTGAGTAGTAAATATGGTTCCTTAAACACGAATATGATGAAATGGTCGTTTGAGTGTTTTGCTATGTTTTCGATGCTGGGCGAGCACGTTCCTCTTGTACTCTAAGATCCAAGCTACTTTGCAATGACAACTTATTGAGATGCGGAGGAGTGGCGTGCGGTAGCTGTCATTCGGCGCAAGATTTGGCTTGGCGATTTTGTTCGGCAGCGTTTACGACGCTGTAACACGCGTAGAGGAAGCGCTGATTTCGAGTGCAGTTGACCGTTCGCCATAGCAGACACCGTCGTCCCAAGGGTGATCGTCCTGTGGAGTAACCTTGCCTTCAACAGGCCCATCATCATGTAACGAGACTAGACCTGTCTTATGGGAAAAAGTTAGGCCTTACCACTACAGAAGCTATCTTTTCTTGTATCATTGTCACTTGATTGATGCCCCATTATCGCCTAGCTCCCGGTGTCCATTCCGTTGCATGACTGTCGTTCCTCCCCTCTTCTAGCGGCTCACTTGGAATGATTGATTTGATGGCAGAAGCCTTCACTCACATATTATCACTAGCCATCGGTCTCCTTGATGGGCAGGTGTTTTTCTAGTTTGTATATAACTTGGTTTGGGTATGATGGTAGAGTGGTGGCGAAAGTTTAAACCTTAAATTAGGTTAATCTTATTGCCTATGGCCTATCTTTGCCTCACTCGATTGTTTAGCACTTTCACACTGCGATTTCCGAGTAAAACTTGTGCATCATTTATAATTTGCATACCTCAGCACGCAATTCGGTGAACATAGACATACGTATTACAAAATACTCATATACTCGGTGTATGACATGCTGTCATATCAGCTCGCTAGAGCCTTCACATTTCAGCAAACTTGGTCGATTGGCTGGTCCCCATTATGAATCGGAAGACTTTTGTGTGCTGCCTGATTCGCGCTATTCTGGCCACAAGATAGACCTTCACGTGTCAATCATCTCTTAAGTTTTCATTTGACTGGGCTTATGAAGGGAAATAGGTACAGAATTGGGATGTATTTCGCCTCTTCTTATCCATGTATTATTTAAGCACAATAATACATAACAATAATTTTTATACATTAAATTTGGACGCGAATAGGACAGGAATGTAGAGAGGACGCGAAGGACTAAGGGAAACAAACTATTCCACCAAGCTGGATTTTTTCCTTGCGTTGCCTAACACGATCTAGACGTTTGTACTTCAAGGAGCTAGTGATTCAGTCTGCTCCTAAAGGCACATTTCGTGCCCAATAAGCAGTCCTTACGGAAAGTGCTTCCTGATAGTCGGCATCCCCCTGCGGCTAGATATTCAGACAATGGTTGCGAGCCATCTGCTGTACTTCATGCAGCTTTAGCCTTTGGCCTACTTCTGGATTTTTTTGTCCTACGTATTCATAAAAGACATACTTCAGAGCATTATAAATCACTGCCGATGTGTATGTTAAAAATTTTGTTATTGTAAGTACTACGCGAAGTAGACTGGTGCAAGCAGAGAAATTCACTACTTTTTGTCTATTTATTATCTTTTATGGCTCTGGCTAAGGCGGCTTTCAATCGAATCCTGATCTAAATCGTGACGGTTAACCAACTTGGAGGAGCAAGTCTCTTTTGAAGTCCTTAGGAAGTTATACGAATTATGTTGCCACACCATTTCTCATTGTTTAACCTGAATGCGCCGTCGATACGTTGTGCATCTGAAATTCGAGTTTTGGACTTTGGAAACATTCAGTTTTTCACCTGAACTTTACAAACATTTCGTTGCCTTTCCTTTTCGACCTCGATCTTAATCTCAGAATAGCTGGAGAATTGAGCCAATTTTATTCATCTTCCTTGTTTTCCGTAGTAACGTTGTCGACATGTAACTAACTGGCCTCATGGAAGTTTCTTGTTCACGTTGTGACAGGAATCTTCTATTTGCCTGAATTCTTTTCTTTTCTACTGAAAAAGGTTATTTAGTCGAATTAGCTTCGTAATCTGCGACTCTAGCCTGATTGCACTGGTGAAACAATGGCACTTGCATGATAACCCTTTAGTGTCGCCAGCGGCCGTTGATATATTAGCTATGCGTATTGTGGTGAAAATGGAGCAAAGCTATGCTTTCCGGGAGGGTATTGCTGCAGCTGTCCAATGAAGTGGCGGTATGGTTGGTTATGTTTTCTTTTTTGGATTATAAACACGGGGTGCACTCACCTGGCCATCAGGGTTCTGGAAAATCACCAACCAGCTGGCTCGATCAGCAACAACTCTCTCTTTATAATTTCTTCTCTTTGTTGGCCTGTCTCTACTTCTCCCGAATTGGCACCTACATCAAAGATCACAAAAATTTCCCTCCGCTCAACCTGTGGTGGTCCACCTGACTTGTTCTATTCCTCTCTTACGGCGGATCGGGAGGTTTTCCTGTCTCTTGTCCTACACTCACATTTACCCAACCCTATAGACACATGCACATGCACACGCACACGCACACACATGTATATGCATGCAAATGGTTGAGTTTTATGCATTCATCTCGAATGCACTTCCCGAATAAGCACTTTTTGGGGAGTTCCTTTGGTCTATTCAGCTCAGTGTGCATCCAGTCTTATTCGCAGACTTCTACGTGCATGGGGCTTGGATACCGTCTATCACACTTTGGCACGACTCAAAGTCTACAGGCCCACACTTAGGATTGACTTTTTTCACCCCTCCTCTCTCCCTACACCATTTTGAAGGAGTCCATGCTACGGCCAGCCTCTTGCCGCGCTTATCGAGAGTGCATGAGATCGAGGGGTTTGTTTACATCTGAAAACCTGTTACCATCATCTTATTAACTACCCACCATCTGTTAATAATAAAAGGCTAATAACCTCTTAAGCAACATTAAGACAGATACTTACCAACATTTGGAGGATCTATTTGGTAAGATTGGCTCACAACTCGATCGTAAAAGTGATTCTAACTATCCGCTTCTCCGGTGTCTATCGCTGCACTGACCCATCAGCTTATCTTGACATGCCTACATTTCAATTCATTTCTTGGCATCTATGCATCCATCCATCCTTCTCAATCCACTAGTGCCGGTCACGCATCCGTAAGTCGATCGATCTACCTAGATTGCAGATTACATGTCTCTATCCATTCTTTTCCTGTCAGTACCTGTATCCGACTTGATCAATGACTTCTCATTTTCCATTCGACCATTGGTTAAGTTCGGCCGGTCAGCCAGCAACCATTCAGCAGGTCAATTAGTCAATCGGCCAGTCAGCCAAGCAATTGGTCCGCCTATCGTTTATTTAATTAAAATTACCCGACTATCTTTTTATTTTTTCTCACATACATGTAAATATGTGCGCATAAATCTGTTGGATCTGGTACACTTATCCTTCACCTTTGTTCACTCCCTCGCGAATCTGCTATTTAGTGATGTTGAAGGTGTGATTGGATTTTTACATGGGCGAATGTTCATAAGCCATTTGGGGTTCAAATGACCGATAGATACTTGTCCCACAAACAAGTGAGGGAAGGATTAGCTCGTCAATGAGTCGACATCAGTTCGGCCCCCAGGATTGTTGTCGCCTAGATTGCTCGGCCCCATGGCTCCATGCAAATTTCTTCTCTCTTTTGTCCCCTTTTTCTTTGATATGACAGGACTCGTTAGACTATCACGGGCACCTTATGGTCATATTCGAAAGTAATGCGTCTGCATGAACGCTACTTTGCGAAATCATCTTTAAAGCGTATCTGTCAAGGGTACAATGGTTACTTTAAGAGCTGTTCACAAACGAGTTTGCGCTACCGACTTTCCGTTCGTATGCCATCAATTCGAGACAATATAGTCTCATGCTTTTCTAGGTTCCTACCAAAATATGATGTTTTACAGGTTATAATGTGCAATATTGTTCGCCACAATCGACCGTGGTCTTGTGGACTGAAGGCCGGTTGAGACAGATCACTTTTGGTACAGCCCGCCAAACCGATCAACCTTTCTGAACGTTTTTTGCGGCAGCTCCATCTGCACTATTCGGACCATAATTAGACAGTCCCACTCAGACCAATTGTCCGGCTAACATGTCTTTTTCTAGTAAATAGATTTCCGCACTATAATGTTACCTTATTCCTTAGTTATAATCGATAAGGTACACAAGTTTTTTTATGCAACTGGCCGACAAGGCGGATTATCGGGGGAGTGGGTAGGCCAGATGATTCCC